TTATGGCTTAGTGCTTTGGCACGTAAGTTACGATTAAAAACAGTACCGTGACCTCGGTAGTGGGGAACCGAGTAACACGCAGAAGAAAGACGAGTGCAAATATAGTGCAGTACTGATAAGTGACATACACTGAACGTGATATGATGGTTTCATTATGTTTCATGTTCAACATTATCGTAGAGTGGAAGAAAATTACGAGCGGCCAGACAACATGGTGTCCATAATGCCATCCACAATCACAGTATGAAAATAAAGTGGCTTTACGTCTAGCTGTGATAACTATAGGCATACAGCGATAAATAGGTTATTCAAAACTGTTCCACAGAACTCGCCAATTAAGCTGTTTTAATTAAGAACAGCAGTATAAAAGAAATATCTTGTACAATTGTAAATACGAAGATGCTAGAGAAGAATTAGAAATATCAGATATAAAATTTAGGAATAATACCTAGAAAAAACCCTGAAACTTCTGTTAATGTAAACCGAAGATGCCGGAAGCCTCAAACAAAAAACGACATTTTTAATCTTTGTAACCGGAACAGACCAACAGCCTAATCCATGAAGTTGATGAATTATAAAACGAAAGCCTTTCTTATCTTAAATACCATTTGATATTTTATACAGTTGAATCGGAACGTAAATATGAAACAAGTTAATAATTTCACTACTACGTCCGTTGGTCAGCCGTGGCATTCTTCGATGTGGTTATCATCTGTCGTGGTATGGTCAGGCCAATGTAACAATTTATATGTTGAAGGTAACTGGCGGCTTCTGAAAAGCCACATTTTCATATAAACAATTTAAAATTCCCCAGGTGCTTCTCAAATTAACTGATTTAATATATATTTAAGCCTGAATGCAGAGGGATTGATTTCAGGGCAGTTCTAACTGGATCCTTTGCCACCAAGCCATGATCAACACTGCAAACCAACAAAACTTCCGGCCAGTGCGTAGTCTTTCATGAACGCTTTACTCGATGGTAACGTCCAAGACACCGTTACGAGCATACCGATCGCTTAACACAGTGGTATTCAACTCGAAAGATGCGTGTAGTCACAGAGTGACATTTATTGTCTGTTATCCTACTTATGTATAAGAAGCCTTTTCTGCAAAATACTAACCTAATCCTCACGCACTGCACCCTGTTTTGTGAAAATGGGCTTTGGAGACAGCAGAATCATTGCAGCTGTAGTGGAGGAAATGTTACTATAATAATTTAAGGTAAGTTAAAGTTTTGCAAGTGTGTAGGCACAAGCACTGAAAGACGATTGGACATTTATATAGGACTGGAAGAACTATTTTTGAGGAGGAGTTGAGATTCTCACAGCGGAGAGTACGAATATGACTGTCTTCTGGGTTGTAGGGCCCAGCAGACAGCCATCATTTTAGAGTATTTAATTATCAATTGGGAAACGCTCGGTATTAAATATCTATCTCTAACACATTACTATAAATGTTAAAGTCAAATATTCACACAGTTTCAACCCCTTACGCCCGAAGGTCTTCTAAATATGTATATTTAAACTTTTAATTTTACTTCAAAGGAAACAACGCGACTCCGTTATAAAGATCAATTTTCTAATTCTGTTTAAGGAAATATCGTTGTTTGCTCTTACAATTATATGAACTCCACAAGTGCACTCTATGATCAAAATGAAAAATTAGTTAACGCTTGCGAATGTGGTACATATATGTACCACTAAGCTACAAAATTTTAATCGAAGTCCACATTTGGAGAATAAATTTTATTTAAAGAATTGGTCTAGCTTAAAAATCCACTACATCAACGATACCCAGTTTGCATTGCGTGATTCTTACGTGTAATTTAGACCCTACAGCTCTTGATATCACTCAAATAACAATAAACATCTGGACAGATAGCTGTGTAGTCAATTTGATATTTACAATGTGATTACCAGCTGTTATCTGTGTAGTTCCAGACTATTAAACCTACACAAAAGAGGGACAGATTTTAGACGTGACCTTCGTACGAACGTGTCATATATTCTAGTCTCTATACCAACACCTCTGACATTTGGTAACTAACACAATCAGTAATGAGTCAGGGACGTTGGGTATGCCTGTAGGTAAGAGTTACCAGCAAAAGAATTCTTTCGACAAAAGACCAGAACAACGAAGTATGTATAAATTATATATTTAGCTTTGCAAGCGTGTAAAATATTTTCACAGCTGTTGACAACATATCAACTAAATATTTTCACAGCTGATAATACTGGCCCGAATGTCATGCGTGCTTATTTTACTCGAAAAGCCCAATGAAAACTAACCTGCACATTACATTAACTTATGTGAAAAGAAAGTTAATTATTTTTACAAATGTATTCATTTGTCATAAAATGCCAATAATTTGTATATTAGCAGTTATTTTGCAAGTACGAGTGAAACCGATTTAATGTAACTTTTAAACTGTGGTGAGTATTAAATTATGATAAATGCAAATAACCCCTAAAATATAGCATAGGAACGAAGTATTCTAAGTAATTTATTACAACACAGTTATGCTGGATATTTTCAATGCTTGAAATGCACGTCTTCTAAGTATTAATTTTGTTCCAAACATTCATGCACATGATTTTGTTAGGAATTCCAATCGACACAATCTGGTTATCCATCTAGCAAGTCAATATTAGTACCACATGACAGCATTGCTGTACAAAGTGCAGTTTGATATTTATTTCAGTTCAATACGATTGAACACGGGATCACTGTGTGTTAAATTTTCAATTTCAAAGGACATTTAACAACGATCAACAAATATTTGACATTTTACATTCATTTTCATTACGCAAAATAATAGCTAACAGTCGTAACATGTTTGTATGTCCGCAAAAACTTAATTATATATAAACCAATTACACATTTCTAGAATTTTTATAACTACTTACTTCGTTTCACACTCGGATTCAGTCTTCATGTGAGATGTGAGGTTCTGAAGGCAGTGAAGACATTAGTGATAAATACTGCACATCAATGACATTTTTTTATCAAACTACTTATATGTTGCAATTTCGACTGGGAAAATATTTATGAAGTGGGAAGGCTCTCAAAAGAAGCGACTGAGGCATACAGGCTGATGTTTAACTATGCACTACGTTATACAAATGTATGGGAGAGTGGAGATCCATTCCATTCTTAACCTCAGCACTAGGCGAACTTGAATGGTTAGCGTTTCGACGTTGCTGCTTTACTCCCCAGAAAGATCTCCGGTGTTTAATGGATAGGAAGCTGGGTATGTTCCAGAACCAATCTGGACGTTCCGATGAAGAGAAAGATCTTGCCCTGTCCGGAATCGAACACCGTTCGTCCAACCCGTTTACAACTCACTACAGCCTACTGACTGAACTACCCCAGTTTAATAACGGGAAATAACATGCCAGAATTTACCTGTTGGAATTCAGGATAACAGCTAAAATGATAAGTGATAATATTCGGTTACTTGACCGGGCATTCCGAACAGAAATCACAAATGATTTTCCGTAAAGCTGAATATGCATGATTTTGACAAACTGATTAAAACACGTACATGAGATATGTAACCAATTATATACTATCTCAATGTACCTTAACGAGGGACAGACCACAGCTAAGCGCCTGGCGATAACTTCCCACTAGCACCAGGTGCCTTCAGTTGAGTTCGGTAGTGGACGAAATGGCATTGAAGCAGGTTTTTGCCCACGTTCTCCCTTTGCCATCGGCCTACTGAGAATTGCTACAGCCGTGACCAAGGAGCACATACGTCTTCATTTCAAACCTGGCGTATGCCTGGTCCCTGAATAAGAGTAGTTCAACTTCAGATCTTAACGGCATAAATATTTGATGTTGTTTCGTTTTGCAGGTAAAGAAGGCGTAACAGAAGTTGCAGGCTAGTTGTACATCACTTATTTCTTCGTCTGAGCTAGTTACAGATCTGTGTAGTGCGCTTTAAGAGATTCGCACACAGCCATAAATGCTTCTGGTTGCTGAATGGTGTAGACCTGATCCATTCGCTTAACCGAGGCGGAAGCCGTATCATAGCAACGCGTTTAACATTTCCCTTCTAGATTAATTACTTTTGGAATGTCACATGACTGACACAGTTAATATAATACATGAGTCTTCACAGCCATTGATGCCGCACGGAATCCACTGATTCACATTAGGATGAACGAGGCAGACGATATTTATTTATGAATTATTTAACGACGCTGTCAGTAGGTCAGATTATATAGCACTGGAAATAAAATAAAATTCAATCGATATGGAAGAAAGCAAGAATGGCCTAGTTTATGACATTCAGCTGTCAAGGAATTCGCCTGGAGGTTCGGAGGAAAACCAAGAAAGTCTTGAGTTGGGATAACCGTTTCATGGTTCGATGTTTGAACTCGGGGCCACGCGAATGCGAAGCAGGAGTGCTAGTCACTCGGCTGTGACACCCGGTGTCAGTGATTAGAAAGGAAGGACCAGTAATGGTATTTTAAGACATTTTATCACACGAGTTTGCACACTCAGTACCATCGACGTATTGACATAAATACATACAAATTATGTCAGAAATTTATTTTTGAAAAACGACATCTATTATCCAACAAGCTAACTATTTCTACATATATCCGGTTACGTCTCACTACCGTCAAAACAGCTCTACACTACAAATTTTTGTATATTTTGCAATAAATTCCTGAAAACTGAAGCATACGTTCACTAAAAAGTAGGATTTTTTTCATTTGAGTAAGAAATTTCCTCTTAGAGGATCGAATGTTAATCACCGTCACCAAAAGCTACTTCAAAACAGAATTCAAAATTATCATTCTATTTATGCCCTCGCCTCCTTCCGCTGGATTTATAACATATTGTGTGTTTATTTGGTACATGCGTACTAGAAGACTAGCCAATAATAATTACCTTAATTTAATTATCTTAATAATACTAGGCGAAGAATATATTAAACTCCTCATTTTGTAATTTTATCTGTCCTTTTTACTTTCTCTCTCCTAAGATATACTTACAATTTAACAGCGCAATGCTCAGTACGATATGTCAGTTTGTTAGTGAGAAGTCATAGGGATAATTTAATATTATAACTGAATTTTAAATTAAATACGTGATCATTAGCCAATTCCATCTACCTTCCAACCTAGAACAAATTTCCCAAAATCGATGTTAATGTTATCTTGAGGATATTCTCCCATCTACATGTCAGTCTTCCAAGTTGTTGGCTATCAAATTATCTACGCATTCCTTGCGTATTCTAGCTACTTCGTAGTATCCCAGATAAATAAGACCTAATGACTACGCGTGATGTCAAACTTTTCAACACTAAATGGCATGAACTTCATAACCAAATTAAGTATTTCCCGTTTCTTGTGTTACGAACCTCTGAAATAGTTCCACGCGATACGACTAGTATCGCAGCATTGCGCTATTTTGTCGACCACTCGATGTCGTTTCCAGTGAACTACTGAACATGCTCCGATCGCGTACATCGCCATGCTGGCACTAGAACCTAATCTTCGTGTCAGCTGATCCCAAGCCTCAGTTACGTAATATAATCGATAAATTTCCATAGCAACTTAAAGCAAAGCAAATTTGGGTCAGTAAGTCAGTTTGGGACGCTGGCATATTAACGAAGCCAACTTTGCATCTGCCATACAGACATTCCGTAAAATTCAGGTTAGTGTTGTCTTGTAGATTGACTAATATTCGTGTAGTAGCTTGAGACATATTGACCTAAGATCATGTACATGGCAAGGTAATGTATAAGTTGCATGTCCCTCTAAGGCAATTTTTTACTTAAATTTGAAAGAAAAACTTATTAAGTCTTCAGATTGTGAAGAAATAAATATTTTAATACGACGATTAGTTGGGAATAAAATTTATTTTATTTGTTGCACTGAAGCAATTGCATGCGTAGAATGTAACTATATTAACACTACATAACCATGTCACGTCAGAAATGTTTTCCCACGTGGTCTTATCAAAATGAACTAAAATGGAGTTAAAATTTATAAACAAGTTCTACTCCGAACGTTTTTACAACTAACAACAGTATTCCACAAAGCATTTGGATTTAGGCGTCAAACACAGAGCGAACTTTACACATGAAACTTCCGGTATTATTTTTCAGCCTGGTTTCTTGCGTTTTCCTCTTTTTTACAAGCGGAAGTGATCAGTTTCACCAAACCGCTGAAAGCTACTGTCATTTCTTGCACTCCTTGTACTGAGTACTTGTATTTGACAAAAACCTTTTGCGAGCAGGCGAAACACCAGATTTATCTGCCTTCAGTAAATTCTGAGTTCAGTCTTGAAGTACAGAAACGACATGATTTCCTCGTTTATATCTCCGCTATAAAGGAGGCCATGCATTGTCGTGGTACAACATATACAAAGTTCTTGGTACCATTTTTCGGACCACATGGTAATACGGCACAGTGCCATCACAGAACTGAGACATCCAATAAGCAAACAGGTTGGGTACTATGGTGCAACACATGTAGTCCGAAACATTCACAAGTGATTTTCACTTTCGTGTTGTCGCAGAGGCGAAGATGTGAATTTATCTTATTTTTATAATCTATTCAGTGGCGAGCAATGCTTATGCGATCAGATATTCCCATAAATGTTTGCATGATGCACATAACTTTACCATTGACGTCCAAAACGCGATACAAATCCGCTGTTCTAGCTCGTGCACTGTCAAGTTCAGTGACGAGTTGCTTTCTCGTGGATTGCATACGTACTGCTTTCTTCAGCTATTTGCCCCACATTCAACCCGAACAAACAAAACATTAAAGTGAGTATATGACAAGAGGCTACAAACGACCAATTCAATCTGAGTTTCTTATCGCATCACATCAAATTAGGAATATAACTGCGAGATGAAATTTCATAACCTCAAAGTTTCGAGTTTTGATTTCCATAACTTATTAGCTAAAATAAGTCACAACACACTTTTTAACTTTCTACAGACAAGAGCTGTAACAAACGGACGATAACAAAAAGTTTACAGTGGAACCACAGTTCCGGAGAATATGACGTAAATACGTCTCTGTATTTAAATTATATTTACGTCTCTGTAATGTAATGTAATGCAATGTAAAGTAAAGTAATGTAATGTTATATTCAATGTCATCCATCTTGTTACGAAAGCGGATTGTTGACGGCAGTAATGTAACACAACAATGCCGAGTAAACATATGACGTTTCCTAGGTAACATAACAATGCAACAACAGATAACCATTGTTGTCGATTTGTTGATACGGATCTTACACATTTTCGTTACACTTTTTTGCCGAATGACCCTTCCGTATAGACGTATTTATTTATTTATTTTATTTAGTTCTGTCTGACGACAGGTCCATATGAACAGGATCCTTCCATCCTTTTCTCGGACTGGGACCTGTTCATATACGTTCTTGGCAGATGATCCAGAAGTGGTTTGCCATTGCCTTCTTCTGTGTGTGAATGGAGTATTTGTTGGGATGCCACGGAGAAACCGGGGAAGCCCCCGGAGCCTCCGTGTTGCCTAGACCACGACCTTGCCCAACACAAGTTATAAATTCTGGCACAGTCTTTTAAAACAGTTTCAAACGAATTATAACTTAATTGACTTCAGGAAATTAGCGACATGTAATCGATGCCCATAAAAAATCTTCGTTTTGAGCATGCTCTAAAAAACTTGGCCTTTGGATTCATTCCATACGTTTAGATTACAAGTTTGATGGATCACACAAAATACATTCACAATGTCACGTTTATCCTCAAGATACGGATCAGAGAAGCACAACACTGTGAGATTTTCATTCGGTTATTTTCAAAATCCTTTGGATGGAGAGAGAGTTGGTAGCAAGTGAAGGACGGACAGCAGTGGTCAGTCAGTACAAATATCCAGAAGATTAGGCCCTCAGGACAGAGAGCAATCTTACGATCTTCTGAATAGAACTTGGCCAATTAACATGGTGACAATTGGGGAGACTTGAAGTGCCATGCACTAGATATTAAATACAAGATCACTGATAACATGACGAATTATGTTCACATGACCTACAAAATTCGGTATCATGTCCAACTTCTGTTGCAGGATTAAAAGAACATTCTGATTAAACTAAGAGATAACTTCACCTATACCATTTACATTTAAAAACATTTTGCTTATTATCCATCCGCCCCCCCCCCCTGTGCTCCTTTAATTCAATTCTTTTCTTTCGTTTCCATACTTACTTTCTTACTTCCTTTTTTTGGTTTACTAATGCAAAGAATTGAGGTCTCACAGATGAATACGATCAACATCTTCAGAATAGATTAAAACTTAAGCGTAATGCACATAAACCGTTATAGCTGCAACGTTTAATACAACTTTAAATTAAACTTTATTGTACTAAAGTTTCATATACAGATTTATCCAAGCAGACAAACAGTTTATTCTACAGAAATATTTTAAGAAGCAAAAAAGTCAGTTGTGTTGGTTAGTAAGGAAAAGTGAAAAAAAGGACCGTAAGTGATGTATCACACAAGAACTTACAGTTAAACTTTAATTTGGTTCAGGTTAGTAGGATTTGAGGTTTTTACGGCAGCTCATCTGAAGATGGCTGTCTTTCGACACTGCCTTCATCATGAGCTCGATGACTCAGGGTCCTGATGATGGAGGCAGCAAGGACCTCTGAAACGTTTGCATACTTCTACCAAACTACACGGCGTAAGCCGTCTTAGTTTAGGTTGGTTCCGTTCTATTACAAACCCTTATGATTAAGGGTAATCATCTCTGCTTTGGGGATATGCACCGGTTAACATTTCTCTTACAGTAGATTCCGATAAATAATAATCTTTCAGGTCATTTTATTGTATTTTAAGGTAAATATTGCATGCGATTTTCAGTCTGGCATCTAAAACACAGCACGTTCTATTTGTTTGTAAACGTTGTCCACCACAACATTGTTAACTAAGGCGTGGCTTGACAAGCATGCAGTTTACAGAACTTGTTCTAGTAACGTAAGCAGATTTTTTAATTACACTCCATCAGTCAACTGTAAGGTATTCATGTTTTTTTATTTTGTACGTAGATCTAATTACGTCCACTGTTTGCTCATAGAAATATCTTCGGGTCACATTGTCACAACGACGTTGGATACCATTGTTGTCTTTAATATCATTATTATTCCTTTCGACTAAGAGTGATGTAAGTCTCCGGTTCCTTTAAGCCATGTTTTTCAACGGTTCAATCTGCTGACGTCACCAGGGGAATAAATATAAAGCAGTCTCCAAGACGCAAGTGCAGGTAACTCCCAATATAACTCACACAATGGAAAATGCCCAGAATTACTGAGGTATAATTGATCACCCACAGAAATAATCATTTCTGGAACTCATGTCGTACATTAATATTTTCTTAACAGTGGTATGTTATCGTTTATAATGTTCTATTGTTTCACAAGAAATAATCTAATTTATCAGGCAAATTGACAATTTTATTTTCTCCATTAATATAACCTGACTGCTGTAATTCTGC